ATAGGTGGGATGATAATGAGCCCCCATTTCAAAATTCCTGAAAATTAGTATTGAATAAATATCCTACCCATAATTTCAAATAATTCAGTATATTAATGTGAAATACAAAGGGTGTGGCGTAAATGTTGCGACAAACTTCTAGTGGAGGTAGGGCATATCATAGAGTTAAGAATTGCATACGAACCTATACCCAAAAATGTCAGGGGTAAGTGGTAGAAGATGGGAAAAGAAGCAAGAGTGATTAATTTGAAATATTTATTGGACATGAATACAAATGGTGTATGACAGCTTGAATGTTACAACAGATGTTCAAAATTTGCACTATCAGATGCCAAACATGCCTGACACTCATGAACCATTTGAATGCTGCGAATTATTTGATTTTTCTGGAGCAGGTTCTTCCCGATTTGCTTGACGATTTTCCATCAAATGTGAGGTGCAAAATGGTGGGTCCCCTGCTGATTTTGGACTGGATGTTTGTAGCCATTTGAACAAATCATTCCTGCATCGAGGGACCAGTTCCCTGGCCCTACGCTCACCGGATTTATCGAGCCTTGATTTCTTTTTAAGGGAAGCCATCAAAAGTGTTGTGAATCACGATCCTGTTGTGTCCGAAATGGATCTCGTGGCAAGACTCACCTATGCTACTGCTACAATCAAAGAAACTCCCGGCGTGTTTGAACATGTCCGGCAATCAATGGTTCGTCTGTGTCAGGCATGTTTGGCATCTGATGGTGCAAACTTCGAGCATCTGTTATAATATTCAAGCTGTCGCACACCATTTGTAATTCATGTCCAATAAATGTTTCAAATTAATCACTCTTGCTTCTTTTCCCATCTTCTACCTCTGCTACCACTTACCACTGACTTTTCCGGGTATACGTTCCTTATGAAATTCTTAATCCTTATGATGTGCCCTACTTCCCATAAAAGTTTGTTGCAACATTTACGGTACACCCTATATACAAATATGTACACACATATATTTTCAAGTAATATCATGAGTTAAGCAAGACATATTTTTTTAAAATGATTAAAAATTCATTTATGTTTCACTACATTATTTCACCTAATTTGCCTACCACTCTGGTCTATAGCATTTAAAAAAAAAAAAAAATTCGTAGTTTTTTTGGGAATTGGAAGCATTCACATTTTTCTTTGCTAAGAGCAGAAAGTTCAGTATGATCAACAAGACATGTTGATATAGACATTGGCTTTTCAATTAAAACTTTATTATTAGATTTAAACTTGAAGTATGCTTACTAACAGGTGTTGGAGATGAGAAACTGCTGGAAGGAAGGGAATAGTTCATGGAATGTTAAGAACTGGTGTAAGCTATCCAGTTATTCAACAAATTATTCCTAATAATTTTACCAAGATTTTCTGACCCCCAAAGTTAGACATGTTTTTTGCAACATAATGACAATAAATATTATTTCACAATCCATCTAACATTCAGGTTATCAGGATTCAGTGATGTTTTATGTTCTGTTACAATATCAGCACACAAATAAGTAAACTTTCAAAGAAAAGCCCTTGTAAGCAAGTTAAAACAGATTTACTCAGTTTTATCAATATAGGGTATTTCTGCTTTTCACTTCATATTAGCCTGAATATTTTAGCTAAAAATTTTTCTTTCCATACAATTCAAGCACCCAAAATAACTTTTCTGTTGGGACAAACTTGCAATCTGAGCAAACTCATTGTATTCATAAAGAATAGAATAGAACACACACATATACAGTCAAAAGTCGTTAATCCGGACTCGTCGGGACTTCGGCGATTCCGGATTATAGATCATCGGTTTAAATCTGGTAAGATGGCATGCAGAAATTACAAAATTAAAATATGAAAACCATAATTTTATGAAATAAAGAACAATTATGATCTAAAGGGTATCAAAATTTACAAAAAAAAAGCTTAATATTTATTTGTTTTACTTTATTAAAACATTTCTTTCAATGTAAGTTGCTTCGTTTCATGTGATAATACTTTCTCTTTAATTCTATTAAACAGACATCATTTCTTGTTTAGTTACAAAGTTCCGCTGTTCAAGTCCTATAACTGCTTTAAATCATATCAAAGACAGAGTACATCCACATGAAATACTACATTTAGTAAGGAATTATAAGCCAAATAAAATAAAAACATCTGCCGTGAAGATAAGGATAGTGCTGATAGATCAACTTCCAATTCATTGTGCTCCGCAGCGTTACAGATAAACAAAGTTTAGATAAACAAAGGATATACCTTTATCCATTTTTTGCAGCAATTCCACTTTTTGTTTAATGAACTTCGAAATATACTTTCGCTTTGTAGATACGTTGCATATTAATAAATATATATCAGAAACTCTATTTGACCCTGAAGATAAGGATAGAGCTGACAGATCAACTTCCAATCGGCGGGGTGAAATTGATACAACAGATTTCGGATTTCAAAACATACTTTCGCTTTGTAGATACAAATTACATATTAGTAAATATATATCGGAAATTCTATTTGACATAATTGAAAGTTCAAGCTTACTTTTATGAAATTGCTCTAACAGTCTTCAAAAAATAATAAGCCGGATCCAATTCGAAGATTAAGGAACAACGCAATCTGCAATATTAACTGAATTAGATAATTTTAGCTTAGCTTATACCTCCGTTACACATTAAACGTGCATGCGCACAAACATATTCACAGCAGTAAAGGTCTTACGCGCACTCTTAAACGCCTGTGCGCATGCGTGATTGCGACGCATGCGCAGAAAGTTTGTAGCTTTGAGGTCCGGATTATAGATCATTCCAGATTATGGGTGTCCGAATTAATGACTTTTGACTGTACTTCTTGTACACAGGCTACGTATAAGAAGTTTGACCTTTAAAGCTTTATACACCAGTCTATGAATATATGCAGTACACACTTTATAGTCTAAAATTCTTATACACTTTACAGTCTAAAAATTTAAATTTTTATAACATCTGAATGCTATATTTGTTCTAAAATCAAATTTGAGAAAGATACTGAATTTTCATTTCATTAAATGGTGTCCGATTGCTTATCCAAATTCATGAAAATCCAATTGCTTAGAGTCGTTAAAAGTCTTAACCTGGCCCTAATAATCAATCAATAGGATAACAGCTAAGTAAGAACTTTATTCTTTTAATAACTATGTAAAATCCCAGTAAAATACTAATGAATTACAGTCAAAAGTCGTTAATCCAGACTCGTCAGGACTTCCACAATTTCGGATTATCGATTTTTTTCGGATTATAGATCATCAGTTTAAATCTGGTAAGATGGCATGCAGAAATTTTTAAATTAAAAATATGAAACCATAATTTATGAAATAAAGAACAATTATGATTTAAAGGGTATCAAAATTTACAAAAAAAAAAAAAAAAAAAAAAAAAACTTTATTTATTTGTTTACTTTATTAAACATTTTTATCAATGTAAGTTGTTTAAGTTGCTTCGTTTTATGTGATAATACTCTCTCTTTAATTCTATAAACAGACATAATTTCTTGTTCAGTTACAAAGTTCCGCTGTTCAAGTCCTATAATTGCTGTGTCGAGAACACCGACTAATTTGTCAATCGAAATTTTTTCGTTTTCAGTAACCTCTGTGTCACTTTCTTCACTATCGGAAGCGAATTATAATGACAAGGAATTTGATTTAAATCATATCAAAGGAGTACATCGAGATGAAATACTACTTTTAGTAAGGAATTATAAGCCAAATAAAATAAAAACATCTGCCCTGAAGATAAGGATAGTGCTGACAGATCAACTTCCAATTCATTGTGCGCTGTGGCGTTCCCCCTCCCTCCCGACACCGCAGAGCAGCAAGAAATTGATAAACAGATTTCGGAATGGTTAGAGAAACAAAAGATATGCCTTTATCCATTTTTGCAGCAATTCCACTTTTTGTTTAATGGACTTCAAAACATACTTTCGCTTTGTAGATCCTTTGGTAACTCCACATCGGATTAGTAAATATATATCGGAAATTCTATTTGACATAATCGAAAGTTCTAGCTTACTTTTATAAAATTGCTCTAACAGTCTGCAAAAAATAATAAGCCGGATCCAATTCGAAGATTAAGGAACAACGCAATCTGCAACATTAACTGAATTAGATAATTTTAGCTTAGCTTATACCGTCCGTTATACATTAAACACGCATTCGTAAACGTATTTTGCACACGCGTTGACGCATGCGCAGAAAGTTTGTAGCTTTGAGGTCCAGATTATAGATCATTCTGAATTATGGGTGTCCGAGTTAACGACTTTTGACTGTACTAGCTAAATTGACATAGCATAAAAGTCTAACAGTGGTTTTAATTTCAATATCTAAAATACACCAGATTTTATCTTTTTCCAGCTAATACCCTACCAACTTTAAGAATAAACTTTGAAACAATGAGGGGGGGGGAAAAATCTCAGAGTTTTCAAATTTTACATTATGTCTACAGGGGCTTTTTTAATGTTTGTGGGTTACCTTTATTTATTAAATATCATGTTCTTCGCACTTAAACCACAAAGAAATCGTTGAATTTGTTAATAAAAAATTCATTAAAGTTTTACAAAATATAAAAATAGATAATAAAACAAATTCCAAATTTGGGCTTCCAGATGCCCATATTCGGGTGGAAATGTACATTATTCCAAATTGGATGGCTCTAATTACCATCGTTTTATCACAATACCAGAAACATACATGCATTTATGCAGATTCTTCATTATTTTCTCCCTGTACAGGGATCTAATATTTGGTGGCAACAGTGTGAAAAGTGAACCGACATTTAAAGTTTTCAATGCAAAATGCCAAAACTAAATTAATAGCCCTTCTGGGCTAATAAGAAGCTAATTTTACAACAGAAGCATATTAATAAAAATAACATTCAATTTTTTATTACTACACATCATGAAAAACAATCATTTTTTGACAAAGTTACTGTCATCATTTAAGCTCATTATAAAAATATGACACACAAAAATTTAAAACTTACCTTATCATCAAAGATATGCAAATTTGCATCGGGTAAAGCAGTTAGCTGTGTATGGGGTGTCTGACTAGTGGACAAAGTCCATGGACGGGTAATGATTTTGTGCAGAAAATCACTTTCCTATATAAAATGAAACGAAATAAAATGCATTAATAATAAAAACTTTAATTTTTTTTCCACGTGGGTTATAATGATTAATTTTTTATGTATTGAAGACATTTAGTCAATTATTCAATAGCAAAGGGACAGAAAAACAAAACGACAGGTCTGCCATTTCCTGCTTTAAGTTGCAAGGAGGGATTAGAATAAAGCTTGAGAGCTTTTTAAATTTTTTAAATTGTGAATTTCTCAAATCTTTCACATAATAACGATAAAACCATAAAGTAATTAGCTTTATTTCAGAGCAGGAAACCTGAAAAATCAACTATTTTCTTACTAGGAATCAAATTCTGGACTTTCCTACAGCTAGCCAGATGTGCATTCCAATCATACCAGAAAGAAAAAAATATCTCACATTCTCTCTCCCTCTTAAAGGGTGGGATAAAGGAATCCAGTTATAGTTTGACCATCACAGCCAGGACCCTTAGCACAAACACACATTCAGACCAATTTAATTGCAAAATAGGGTGGATGGACAGAATCATGTAGCAAGGATTTTCTACCGGATATCCATAAAACTGGTCTTATGAAAACAGGAAGTTAAACATTTAATTATGGTTTTCCAACTTAGGATTTGAAAGATTCAACGATGGAAAAAGTGCAAAGTAGTCAATTTTTGAGTCTCAAATCTTTTTCAACATGCAAAAGCTTAGAATACTAACATGGTCTTCAAAGTAATTTTTTGACCCCAAAGTTGCAAAGATTTTTGTGTCATAAGCATAATGTTTCATGTAGTAGTGCTTCAAAGTCCTCTGAATTCTGGGAATTGCTGCAACAATAGTTTTCTTTGTTAAAAAATAAAATTTCAGTATGATCACTAAATTATCTCTAAAATCTTTACCAGTAGAGTATTCAGAGGGATTTTCTCACCAAAACTTTTACTTGCATTTTTGCATAACAAAAATAAACATTTCAATCTGCATAACATCTAGGTTATCAGTGTTCACAGATATTCTGCATTCTGTCATAATATCACCCATATAAATAATTGAACTCTCAGGTTCTAGGAACTGCAATGGGTCCATGAAAGCAAATTCTGTATAAGACAAATTTATCAAAGAAAACTGTCTATACATTTTGTGATTTCTCACTGAGCTTTATTCAGCCTCAAAATTTAAGTTTTCTACAATGTCTGAAATCCAGAGCTCTGTATCACCATCCAAAAAAAATAAATAAATAAATAAAATAAAACAATTTTTAAAAAATCTTAACACAGGATATAATACTGAACTAAAGAAAGCGGGTGTGCAATAAATACAATTTTTCTCCCAACTGACAGTGATTCCTGCACGTTAAAGACCTGAAGGCTAGGGAGTCACACTGCAGGCAATAACAGTATATGGACTGACACTGTATTGATGCTGAACAAAATCACACTTTTAGCGCTTGTGTGTTTGTGTTTGGGAGACGGGGCCAAGGATTTTGCCACTCAGTGTTATGTTTTACCACCTATGTGGATTTTAAATTCGGCTGCCTGGTATCTCCCTAGATTTTAAAAATTTGGCCAGCCATATTTTTCACTGTTCTACATTTTTAAATTCTTACTGCCTGGCACAGCCGCACCTGCATTATTGGGGATTTAGTGTTCTTCTGTCTGATCTAAACAATAAACAGAACCCCAATGCTAAAATGCCTACTCAGCCACCCAGCTAGTAAGTGGATAGGGATGTAGGCGGCCATAACAATGGGCTTGGTTTCGAATCTTGGAGCAGGCATGGATGTTTGTAAACATAATGTCCCTCTCAAGAGGCTCATGGTAGGGTGGAAAGAGAGGTGGAAGATCCTTGGACTGCCTCACAGGATGTTCCTCTCACAAAATTGAAGCAAAAGTTCAATAGTTAGCCAGATTCAGCAACACTTGAATCACCTATGGTGGTACAAAAGTGCTGGCCTAACTTCTACCTGTACCTGTCTGCATGTCATCTTACTAGATTTTAATTGATGAACTAAAAAACTAAAATCTTAAAATAAAAAAAAAATAAAAAAATTAAAAAAAAAAAAAAGAAAGAGAGAGAGAGAGAGAGAGAGAATTGCAAAAGTCTCGATGATTCCAGATCTCAGAGTTTGTACAGTATTAATTCTAAAACAAAATTTGAGAAAGAAAATGAGTGCACATTTCAAAAATTTAGAATTTCAGCTCCATCTTAAATGCAACCACCCCTGTTCTAATATTTACTATTGTATGAAATTTTTGATAAAATAAAACTTACATAGCCTAACCCTTTGCAAGCAACATATAAAGCAAATAAATGGCGATCAATGCCCTTCCCATTCATAGCATCTCTATACAAATTCTGATGTTTCGCAGCAGCTCGCTTTAAAAGCTTCCTTTTCATTTCCTTCTCAACTTCATTATGTACCATACACCTGGGGAAGAAATAAACACGAGAAGTTTACAAACAACTTCAATATTACAGATAAATAGAAACAATATTTGAAAAGAAAATTTACATAAAAAGTACATATTTGAAGACTAAGGCCTGCTTTATTTTTTATTAAAAAAAACTATAATTCAAAAATGAGGGTTACCCTACTTGGCAGATTTGAAAAGAATAAATTGAATTATTTCTTTTGCCTCTGTTTAGGCATCTTTAGGCTGTTATAGAATTAACTCATTATTGTTCATAGAACTGCACTGTTGTTAAAATTCTGCAAATGAAAGAAATTGTATAAATCAATGAATTTCAACTTTTTTATGCCTAGGCAGTGTAGGATAATTCAGTTGCTATAGAAAATTAGATAACTACAGAAACATGAATCCAGATCTAATTTTCAACTCTGACAGGAGTCAGTTTTAGAATGCAGCAAATGCAAAACTTTCTAAAATTTCATTCAGAGTAGTTCCATATAAGTTAAGTTTACACTCCCCCCCCTTTAACAATCAGTACAAAACTAATGCACTAAACTTCATAAAAACTGGACTATATTATAAACAACCAAATAAAATTCATAGATACATCTTTACTAAGAATGATTTTTAACTTTAATTGCAGTTAAAATCGCTTTTATACATTTCACATTACTACATGAAAAAAAAGGGGGGGAAATATTATCAAAGAAAATTTAAAGCTTTCATCTTTTATAGAAAGATGGAAGGCTCTATTTCTCTCAAAACAGCAACCCTGAGGAGGAATAAAGAACGAGAGCTGGTCTAGTCACCAAATAAATTTCACACACACAAATGAAACAGCAGTAAACATGTTTTTCTACTCTCTTAATAAAAATTACCTCAAGATTGCTAGTGAAAATTAATTCACTTTCTTAAAAAATAAACAAATTAATTAAATAAAGTCACCACCATAACAGGAAAATTTATATACATTGCATCTTGGATCATGAATGTTTCAATTCATGAAAAAAATTATCTGAACAAAAATATTTTATATGTTTGCACATTTTTTTAAAAATTATTTTGGCTTTAAATTTGCTTTTTTTAATTTTAATTTTGGCTTTAAATTTGCTTTTTTACTTTTATATGTGTTTGTTAAAATTAAAATTAAAATTTGTTTAAATTTAAATTTCATTCCTTGCAGCAATGGCGTAAAGAATTATTTAATTTAATTTGTATTTAAATTAAATTTATTTAATTCAATTCAATTTTATTCTTATGAAACAATATATATATATATATATATAACTCTTAAAAGTAAACAAATGAATTTTTTAAAAAAAAAAGATCACTACCATACAAGAAAAATTTATATACAGTGCACCTTGGATCATGAATGCCTCTCATTTCATGAAAAAAAATCAGCTGAACAAAAAATTACCTTGGACAATGAATGATGTCTCATGTTATGAACACAGAAGGCCCATCCACACCAAGTACGATCATGACGTAGTTGCCAATACTTTTTTTCCCCACCATCATAAACTTGCATTACACAGAAGATGTAAAACTGAGTTTGCTTATGTTCAGCTTTTTTGTCCACGACATGCATGTTTTTGAGTTCTTCTCACATGACATAACTGGAAAAACTGCTTGCTTACCCTTTATAATAAAATCATCAGCACTGTTTACAGCATTCTCAGATTTCTCAAACCATACATATTGGTAGAAATTTCAAATTCTCATTAAAGGGAAAAAACTGTATAGTCATAAATTAGTGATACAACCAAGGACTTTTACAACCTGGGCCATACAACACTCATTTATTGAATATTAATCAAATTAACTTTGTAATGACTTCTACTTATTCCATTATTTTTTCTGAGAGCTACTTATCACAGATAGCAGAGTGGTCAGCGCGCAAGATTCCAAAGGGAAAGGTCAAGAGTTCGAACTTCATTCGCTGTAAGTCAACGCATTTCTGTAAATTTAGTTATATCACTAGATTTTCTCATTTCGAAACGTGTTTCTTATATTTAATCATGAATCATTTTATTCTTATTTTATCTATTATTATTATTTTTGTTTCCAATTCTTATTTTATCTATTATTATTGTTGTTGTTTTCAATTAAGTTTAAAAGTGTGCACAGTACATAGAAACCATTAACCCATTATGTAATGATATACCTGTATCGCTTGTATAAATTATCTCTTTATTTTTACCTCACTGCATATTTTATTCTTACATAATTTTACATAAACTGTCCAAAATTTGAACCTCATTATAAATTCAAAAATAAAAACTATACACTAATAATAAAATTATTTTCAACTGACAATAAATATTATGTTTTAAGCCTGCAAAGACATTTAGTGTCAATAAGAAAAATAAAAAAAAGGGTTTGATAAGACAATTAATGGATTTAATCACTGAATGTTTGGAATAAAGAATATTACTACTAAAATTACAATAAAATTTTAATATTACTTAAATTTTTCAATTCTTCCCTGAATTTCTTGTATATTTAATGAAAAGAATAATATCTAAAGAATTACAGGCACCTTTCCTAAGAAAACTTTTAATAGAATAAATGCAAATGAAAGCTGTTATTCACATCTCGTAGCATGAACATTTTGGTGGATTTGTGTTTTACTTTAATTACAAGCATATTGATTCAGAAATATTAAAAAAAAAATTAATACAGAAATTGATGACCTTTTAATTTATAGAAATCAGCAGTCACGTAGAAGCATCAAAAATAAAAATGTAATACTTTTACATTTTTTACATAAAAGGGAAAATTTATTTTTTTAACAGAAAAATTACTTCTTAATCTTTTGCTGTGAATGTAATTTTCTCTATAATCTATTAAATTTAAACTTCCAACAAATAAATTTTATTGGATGAAAATTTTCCATCCAATTTATGTGTAATATTATATAGAGAATAATCAACTAATAAAACTCTTTACTGATTGCACAAATTCCTTCACATATATTCACATACCACACATAAATAAGTAAACCATGGGAGGGGTTAATAACTATTTAAAATATGAAATAGATTTTATTTATATGGTGGATGCTGTTTCAAATAATTCTCTTTATATACTTTAATCAAAAACAATATTATAAATCTTAATGAGCATAAAAACTGATTTGTTCATGTAATAACTGTTTAATCTTACTATCATGAACTGTTAACTTGCTTAATAAACAAAATTCATAATAAAACGAACTGTGTTTCTTTGTGCGATTTACGTCATAAGTTTCATGTAAACGAAACTTGAAGTTGGCAACATATGATTTTTAAAATTTGCTTTGAGGTAACCTGCACAACACACACTAACTGAAAACAAAACTTTAATATTTTTAATTGCTTACCTGCACAACACACACTAACTGTAAACAAAACTTTAATATTTTTAATTGCTTAACTATCTTAAACAAAAAAAAAAAAAAACCTTTTGAGCAAGTGATTTATAAGACCATGCATTCTGCCTGGAAGAAATTATAGATAAATTGCATTGTAGGCAGGGACATCTAGGCAAAACCATGGGCTTAGGATTAAGATGAAGACACAGAGAGGTTATTAAAGGATTACAAAAATGAGCTTAACATAAAAGAACTACAGCAACTTCTGAAGCAACACCAAAAGGTGATTTTGAGAAGAAATGCCTTCAGAAAGGGGAAGAAATAAAATAATCCGACTCTCTCATGTTGTGAAATTTGTGTAAAATGGGACGAGATGTACAGTTTTTACATCTTTTCACATCTTCACTCTGATGACACAGTATGAGCATTTTCAGCGATAATGCCTATTTCACTTTAGAGTTGTTGCCTACTTTAAAATATATGCAACAACGAATCACTCAGAAATTTTGACTGAAATAGACACCCAGTAAGTTTTAAGCATAATTAAGTGGCTCTTAGAGACAAAGAAAAGTAAGATCCTGCTGAAAAACTATCAGTAAAAACAAAGTAAGAAATTTACAACCAATTTTTCACAAAGACCAAAAATGGGACTTCATAAGTAATAAATTTCATTGAATCCTATAAATGTAAAAAAGAATTTAATAAATGTTAAAACTAAAAATATTTTTAAAAAAATAATAACCTAATTCAAAAAATTAATGAAATTTAAAGAATAAAGAAAATACAAGAAGGGGAATTCAATCAACTTGAGTGTCACTTCGTCAAGAGGAGGAACATTGAAATCTCTTTTATAAAATAAGAATCTGTATCCACTCTGAATATATACATATGTTCTGGACAGAAAATAGTAATTTATAAAAACGTGCGACCTAGTTAGTCAAAAACTGCACGTTGGGCTTCAAATTTTAAAATAGATTTACAAGAAAAGAAGAGGTTAAAAACTAGCTAGAGCCGTAAAGAACATTTGAACTTCCTAATTCCTGATATTACTGTAAAACAACTTTAAATCATCTAAATTAAAATGAAATTAAAATATGTACGTGAAAAAAACCTATCCATTATATATACAATAGAAAACTTGTACACAAAATCAAAAACTGTACGCGAAAAAACTTATCCAATTTACATAAAACAGAAATACAGTATATATGAAAACATGGTCGATCTGCATACAATGGATACAGAAAAGCAAGGGTTTTTTTATAGAAAAGAAAATTAGGATATTACTTTTATTTGAAGCATTTTAGTTTTAACATTTACTAAATTCTTTTTTACATTTACAGCATTCTATAAAATTTATTACTTACGAATTTCAATTTTTGGTCTTTGTGAAAAATATTTTCTACATTTCTTATTTTATGTCTTTACTGATATATATAAGATAAGAAATATATAAATCAAAATTATAATTTAAACTAACCCCTAATTCCCTTTAATTCTTCCTCTCCTGCTCTAAAAATTGTAATAACTTCTCTGGATTGTGCCATTTCTAGATCATTCTATTTTGCATGGCCTGTGCAGCTCTGATGATGTAATAATTGGAAACTGAAACTTTAAACTCAAACCAAAACTTTTCTCTTCGTTAAGTTTCCATCTTACATAACAACACACTTCAGCTTTGCTCTCAATGCATTAGCCTACTACGCAATCAGATTTCTTCCTCTTCAATATGGATCTACGTACACATTAACACTGGCTGCTCTATTGGCTGCTGCAATCTTCTACGTGCTTTTATTTCAATTATTTGACAGAATCTGAATCTATAGGGGGAACCCCAATGGATTTCAAATCCATTAGGGTTTCCCCGCAAAGGTTCGGATTCTGTCGACTAATTGAAATAAAAGAACAAGGGAAAAGTCTGAGCAGTGTTGATGTGTACATAGATCCATATTGAAGAGGAAGAATTCTGATTGCACTGTAGGCTAATGTGTTGAGATCATAATATCTAAGAAACTTGGCAGTCAAGGTAGTTTAAATAACATTTTTATTTGCAATTGAATTTTGTGGCCACAATCACTTGGCACTTTAGGCATTGGTTTTTACAGAACATTCACATTTCTGATATTATTGCAATAGCAAGCAAGACAGCGAAATTACATCCTAGCACGGTAGAGAGTGAAGCTGAAGTGCGTAATTATGCAAGATGGAAGCCTACGAAGAGAAAGGTGTTGGTTTGAGTTCAGAGTTTCAGTTCCCAATTCTTACGTCATTAGAGCTGTACAGGCCATGCAAAATAGAATGATCTAAAAATGATGCAATCCAGAGAAGTTATTACAATTTTTAGATCAGAGAGGGAGAATTAAAGGGAATCACTAGTTAGTTTAAATTATAATTTTGATTTACATATTTTTTATCTTACATATATATGTTATATATTCTGTAGTTATATGCAGGCGGTTGAATCTGTAATGAACAGCAAGAATTTTGATGCCATAGGATGCTGAAACACCGATCCATAACATATAAGAAATTTGGCAGTCAAGGTATATTTAATTCAACTTTTATCTCAACATGTTCCAGCCACAAACAAGTTGGCACATTAATTGTGCATATTTCAAAAAGTTTACATTTTATATATATTTGCAGTAAGATAGAAGGAGCAGACAGACAGCAGTCAAGCTGAGCAAGGAAAAGCATTGAAAGCAAGTGCATTATGTTCCAGGTGAAATCTTAAGTCAGAGTGAGTTTGTTTTGCTGCTCAATGCATTTTGATTAGATAATTAATACTGCTGTAAAATTACTATTGGCTGTTCGAGTTTTAGTTCCATTCACATCATGAGAATTATGTAAGAATCATATGACACAGATTTTTCTAGAAATGACACAGTGCAAATAGAAGTTACTATTTTTAGAATACAGACGGGAAATTTACTTTTAAGCTGCTAATTACATATATATATATATATATATTCATACACAAGTTCTAGGGTTATTTTAAAGAATTTATATTGTCTTAAATTTTTTTTTAATAATTGACAATTTATTTGAATTGCCTGTGTTTTATTGCTATATTTCTAGCTGAAGATTAATTCTGTTTTCATTGAAAATGGTCACAATTAAAGTCATTGAAAATAAACACAATTAAAATATTTGTGTTTTTTTTTTGAATGAAAAGTGCTTACATGGCAAAATGTTATTTTTATTCTGATTGATATATACTTCCAGTGTTTGTAATTCTTTCAGTTTTTCATAACTGTATTTCTGTCCATGAATGATTATTTCATGAATAATACTAATGGATTTTTCTTTGCTTTCTTTTGTTCTTTAAGTATAGAAATAACTAAGACAAAAAGATTTTATCGATGTTATTTAAACTGTGCCATTTCTGCTTCATTTTGAAGGTCACTGTAATACTTAGTGCATTTTTGGACAGTATGTTTATAAAATTTTTGCAATTATTATTTTGAACATTTGGGAATATCTTACATATATGACTGTGTTTTTCAAAGAAAACTGCAGAGGAATTAATTTCTTAGAACATTTAGAATTTTGTAACCATTAAATGCATTAAAAATGGAAGACTTATAAAGTTAGTTCATATTTAACAAATCTTTTGCATTTATATTTTATTGTCCAATTGCAAGTGGGATAAGCCTCATGAAATGTTATTTTGTTTTCGAATTAATATTTGATTAATGCCTTCATTCGATGCCAGTTTTTCAACTGTGTCACAGGTAACTAAGAAATTCATAAAATTTATGGACATTTAATTTTCTTCTAACAAAGAATGAACTTTCAATGAACACTGAAAGGACAATAATGTGGCATTTTTTTGACTAGCCAGGAAAAAAGATCTACAATTGTCAGCCACAAAACTGGGTCTGCTTCTCTCATATAATCTGAAAGTGATTTAACTCAAAGAGTTACTTACAAACTCAGGGAAAAAATTGCAGAAATTTCCAATTCAGTTAAAGTTTTGAAACATCCTCTTTAGTAAATCTTTGAAGTGATGAAGGTAAACACTTACATGCAGAACAATGTACTCAATTAAGTAGCTTATTGCAAAAATTCAAGAACTACATCAACCAAGGAGAGATCCAACCCCACATAGAGAAGTTTGAAGAATCATCCTGATTTTATGCAGTTAAATGAATCATCCCATTCAATGAAGTCAGAGGAGAATCATCCTGATTCTATGCTGTTGAGTGAATCATCTTGATTGTGAAGTTTTGAAGAATCATCCTGATTCTATACAGTTGGATGAATCATCCCATTCAGTGAAGCAGTGAAGTTGGAATGAAATCAACATGATTCTATGCAGTTTTGAAACAATCATCTCAATTTAATGAACTTTGATCAGAATCATGCTGATTCTATGCAGCATTCTAAAGGATGTATCATCCTGATTCAATGAAGTTTGAAGAGAATCCTCCCGATTCTATGCTGCTGGATGAATCTTCCAATTCAATGAAGTTTGAAGAGAATCACCCTGAATCTATGGGGTCTGAAGATGAGCTTTTCTTGGGGGAGGGAACCGGAATCCTCATCGAGAGAAAAATTACTGACTGAAGAGTTTTACTACAGAATAAACTGTGCAACGTACGGATGATTTACTGATGACCTGAAGTGTTGATTGACAATGATAACTTTGTGGCTGAGATAATTCCATACCTCAAAAGATCTCTCTGTTTCAAGAGATAGCGAGACTGTAGCACCTCTTCGGAGACAAGGCAGACCAAAGAAACATATTGCTGGCTTTTTCCCGAGACGTTGTACGAGCCAGAGAGAAAGTCTGTAACCACACGACTCTCAAGCGTGCCACCTAGCGGGCATTGGAGGGTTGGCAGCCTAAGAGACTACAGCAGTGTGTTGGAGTCAAGGAGTTAAACAATGATGTTCTGCTCTGAGAGTTATTTTGTAACTTTAATGTTTAAATATAAATATTTAAACCTTAAATGTTTTGTACTTATAAGTTTTATGTTCCTAACTATAATGGCCTTAAGTGTTTCATAATTAAAACTCAAGTGGAATCCTTTTGCACAGGTAGTACTTCTTAATTAGCCATTAATCCTAACAGAATTATGGCATCCTGGTTACATGTGTAACATTTGAAATAGATAGTAATTTCATATTATTAAGAATGAAAGTTAAACTGGTTAATGCAACATTAAAAAAAAGGATAGCAAAATTTGAATATTTAAAAAAAAAATGTTTACAAAATTCCCCTAAAAACACTTTTTAAAGAAATTAATCACTGTATTCATAAAAATAAAATAACTTATTACAGAACAAAGTCTTTGGCTTCAACGGTGCATGATCGGACAGTTTCTGTCCTACCTCCCTGGTAAAGCCTTGTCATGGAGGCTTCATATGTCTGTACAAATTTTTTTGAATCTTTATAGTATGCAAGCTGAAGAGCTAACTGAACAAATGCATCTGGTGATACCTAATGTTAGAAAAGATTAAAAAAAAAAAAAAAAAAATAAAAATTATAAAAGATTTATAAATTATAAATATATAAAAATATATAAAAATTAATAATAAAATAAAGATTAAAAATAAAATATATAAGATTAATAATACAAAAAAAGTATAATTTTTAGTGTATCAACATGCTAAAAAGATATATACCAGGTGAGCACAAATATTGTCCTCAATTTCAAAACGGTATCTTATTATATAACACAGTAGGTATAGTGTATCATCACTAAAGTTTTGTGTTGCCACTCTGCAAAGCATGAGATATACATGTTTCAAATTTAATCAGAAAACAGTGATATAAAAAATGTATGTTATCACTCAGTAAACTCATACAATTGTTAAAATGGCACAGATAAAATATGAATTTTTATTAAAATCATTCATTACAAGTTTTTGTTGTATAAATAACTAGAATTTAGATATTTGAGTGGCAGTTTAAAATTGATGCTGACCTCTGTTATAGACATTTGCACAAAGAAATTATTTTCTGCAATTTTAAAACTATTTCACTTGAAACTGTACATATGTCTAGTTGAAAAGCTGAAATTTTTCAAATATGCACATGATTTAGAAACATGGAATATTTTATTGATATTTTAACAAAGAAATTTTAAAAAATAAATCCCACAATTTCAAATTTTAAAAAATATGAAATGAGTATTTCATTTTATTAAATTTTAGCTCCAACACCATTTCTCTAATTTATAACACTGTAAAGATGTGAAATATATACAAAAATAGATTTGATAACTTTAAAGATATGCAGCTATAACATCAATCATATAACATTTATTTTTGAAAATTACAGTTAAAAAAATAACTTATAACAAATAATACCCAAAAACACATAAAACACAAGAAAGCTTCAACTTTACTACATGATTATCACGGTTATTGGATATAATAAAAAATTATACTTACCTTACACTTTTTAATTGCTCCTTTTCCCCACTGATTATGATCTAACACTTCTAAATCTAAATCAGCATTGCTCTGAAAATGTAAAATATCTATTACCTTTAATTTTAAAATGTTAACATTTTAGCATATTTTTAGGAATTACTTTAATATTTCAACAGGATTGGTTTGGATTACTTAAAGCAAAACATGAGAGTGAGTTCCCCGAGCTCTGGTCCAATCTGAAATTTCAGCACATGAATGTTTCATCAAAAGAATGTACATTTTCAATGCTTAATTTTTTTTTCACATAAATATCAAGCAGACAAGAGAAACACATACACATTATATCACAGATATTTCATATGTGCATGTCTAAACCATCAATTATCAGGCTTTATTTAATAACTATGTTGTGTCTAAAAAATATTTGTCTTCTAGCATCAATATACAGTTACCAAAAGTTAAATTAGGCTGATTAATCAGTGTTAAGCAGGCTACAAAAATAATAGCAGAATCTAGAATTGTGTTCTCAGGACAATATCTGGGTTTAAATAAAAAGTTTCAAGAAAATTTACCAATAGGCTGGCAACAAAAGAATTAATAATAACATCTCAAGTTATGTTCTCATGAAATGATAGTCCGTTAACTAATAAGATTTCAAAACAGATTGGAATATTTTATGAGGGAAAAAATATTTGTTGATACGAAGATTCTAAGACTGGACTTTTGGTTTTCTAAGGATCTCATCTGGCATTATTGGAGTCTTGGTTTGATGAATACATAATCAACATTGCAGAGATATGTTTTTCTTTTAATAATATTTTATTGACATTCTTTACATTGCTGTAAAAAAGTTCTAAACACACCTTTGTAAGAAACACAAAATATAGTAATAACCATAATAATAATATATTACCAGTGATGCAAAATTCACTGCCTCTTGTATGCTACTCTTCAGTTCTGGACTAAGTTCCCAAATCAGTCGATGTGGTAATTTAGTTTTAGCTTGCTTGAAATCTCTACTGAATGGCATGCAATTCCCATTTTCATCAAACAGCTTTTCTAGCACCCTGGCAAATAAATTAATAAAAATGATGAAATTAAAAAATTAGCATTGAATAATGAAAATTAGTTATAAAATTAAAAAATGATGAAACTGAAATTTGAAAACCATTTCTACAATTTGGAATAGTTTGATGAGATGTCCATACATAAACTTCACGAAACAGGGAGGAAAATGGTGATTTCACTTTATTAAGCCATTATTATTATTATTATTATTATTATTATTTTAAGCCAAGCATTTTGAAATGTAGTGCTGAATGTTTTGTGCTACTCATAATTCACACTTTTGTTAATACAGATATAACTTGACTTAATACTAGTCAAAGATCACCAAAATATTTAACAAACGAGTCAATGAAATACGTGAAAACATCAGAAATCAGAAAGTATCGTTGAAAATTGAGTGTAATTGCGTTCATGGCCTATGACCGCAGGATTGCAAGCTGCCAACTTTTATTTCAATAAATTAATATTTTAGATTATAAATGTATTTTATTAGATAAAAGCATTTATATATTTTGCAATACATAAAAAGATTAATATAATATAAAGACCTGAATAACACTAAAAGGCTTTATAAGTAGATTAGTAATTTAAAGTTTGATGGCTTGATTTTGACTCACTAACTGATTGAAAATAAAGAACAAAATAAATAAATAAAAACAAAACAAAAAAGCTTGTAACAAAAAGATTAAAAAAAAAAAAATATTTGTAAAATTTTCAGTAGCATTATGTTAAACTTAACTTTTCCAACTCCAAAACATGGAAGTTATAAATACATCATCCAAAAATATTTCTCATTTTACAAAACAGATGCAATAAAATAATTCTAGCCCACAAAAATTATGCATTTAAATAATATTAAAATTAGAAAAAATAAATACTGAATGTACATAATTACTCAAACTGTATATGACAGAAGATAAATATTTTACCAATATTAACTTCCCTTCAGATAATGGAAAGTGAAATATCACATATATTTTAAAACTGATGTAAATATTATGTTTAAAAATTAATTTGAAATGAAACACATGATTCTGAGTAAATAAAATTATTTACAAGAAATTTAGGAATTTTTTTAATACCTTAATGTGCAAATACATTGAAGTGAAGTAAAGTGAATGGGAAAGAATGTTAAATGGAATTGTCAGATCAGAAAAAAACATATTTATGTAATGAAACACAAAATCAGGAAGCTTGGTGCACAAAATGGTAGCAGCAACCCAGATCAGTTTAATACTTCTTTATTCTTGATAAATACAGTTAAATTATTGCAACTTAATGGAAGAATAGAAGTAACATGTTTGAAAAACAGAGTATGAGAGAAGGAATACAGAGATTTCAGTTTGAAGGTTCGGTAAAGAATAACACAATTATAATTCCTATTACTTAACTTTTTTTTTTTGTTTTTTTTTTTTGTTTGTTTGTTTGCAAGTTTTACGTTATTATTGGCTGAATCACTTTGGGTGTAATGTAAATACACGCATCACGTAAGATTCATATGATAGTGACTTATTTTGAAATGGCACAGCTCAGAGAACTTTATTATAAGGATATTACTTTTACGATAGGAAAGGTGAAATTAAACACTAGGAACTTTAACAGAGTTATACAAACAAAAATTAGAAAGAACAGAAATTAATAATCTAACTGGTGTTCCATAATAACACTGTCAATATAGTGGGTCCCCACTGCAAAATAAACATTATGCTTATTATTTTCAACCTTCTATCAAAGGAAAAAAGAAGCTATAGCTTCTGTCAGAGGCATTATTAGGGGCAATTGCTGAACTGTGCCCACCAGAAAGAGTCTGTAAAAAATTAATTATTGAGTATATAATTTTTTTAATAAACTGCTAACAAAATTATATTATGTAAAATAATAAGCTGAGTCTTCCAGTATATTTAATAATAAATAGAACTTTCCAGCATGTTTAAAAAAAAATGCTATTTTTTAAGAAAATTGCTTACATAATTGTATTAAATGCATGAATTTATGTATATGTTTAACAAAGTCTGTTGAACTACGTTATTATTTTGAATAAATTCCTCATAAAATTGTATTAAATGCATTAATAATTACAAATTTATATTAAATTTTTCTCTACATATACATATATTAAATAACTTGTATATATATCAAATGAATAAGTAATTTACTGTTTCCCACAGTCAATTTTCTTTTCATAGAAGTTTATAAAATTTGGCCCCAAAAAACTCACTTTCTTATGCCAATGCTGTTTCCTGCCGCTGAGTGCCAAAAAAACAAATGGTACAAGAATAATTTGTAAAATCTGGTGACCTGAAGTTGCACATCAGCACAATCAAGGGATTCTCAAATCTTAAGCTAACAGTGACTAATTCTACATTTTATTATAAGGTGTCACATTTCACTTAAAGAAAATTATATTCAATTTAATGATCTTCAGATGTTTGCTGACCTTTACAGACCATCAAGTTAAATGACTTAATTCATTTTTTTCGCACCTGGCAAAACTCTTACTGCAAAATCACATTAATAATATGGGATTCTAACTTCATAGTCTAACATTTATCTTGTGCATTATCTAATTTTTTAACTGTTTACTGCACGAGCAAAATTAATGGAACTCTTGCCACTTTGTTTTTGTGAAAGTGATACGAACGAGATGTTAAATATGTATTAATAGACGAACGATGTTGTATATGATTTAACGTTTCATTAAATTTGTTTGTTTCAAGAAGAGTTGTAACTTGCCCAAGACAAAAATCTACAACAACTACAAGTTTTCAAACAAAAACCGAAAGCTGATGTGCTATAGTAGTCAACAGAAAAAAGTTTCATCCATTCATATGATAAAACTAGATTGAATATTACAAGCTAATTAAACAAAATTAAAAAAGCTAATTAAAACAAAAATATCTGAGAAGGCATCAAGAGAAAAATGTCTTGCAGAGATTTCTGAATTCCAAAGGGACAGATTTCTATTAAGATGAATTTGTAACAGAATTACACTGAGCACCACAGCATTTACTTTAACTAAAAATATGATGTGGACACCACATTGCCAATGTGCAGTTTAAGTTTCACATGTGCATATAGGTTACGTTTCTTAAGATAGCAAACATTTTCTTGATTTTTGACTGATGACTATTTTCAATCTTCTGCCTTATGGCAATTAACAAAAAAAGTGCAGGTCTACAGTTCACCAGTGACCACTAGAAACTGCCTATTTAAAATTAATTTCCAGAATGTTTCTATATGTTGTGTATTTTTAATAAATTGCTTACAAAATTTTATTAAATAAAATAATAAACAAATTGGTGGTATCATGTTTTTGCAACCAGCTGTTTCTTGCTTAAGGTTGCTATAAAGCAGAAGTACCAAAGCTTCATTAGTTCTAAAACATTTTATATTGTAAACAAATTAAAATTATATACTACACATAAAACCACATAATATTTAAGAGCACGGATAGGACTTACTCTCGAGACATCGTATACTCCCACATGTGAGCCATGGCAGGTGCATCGGCCACTGTGTGTTCACAATTCAGGCCACAAGTTCCATTAGCAAACACAATCAGGTTTAAACTTTTGTCAAACCAAATGCTTTTGCCATCTCCATGCAAGAGAAACTTTCCTTTTTCTGTTAGACTATTAGGTACATAGTCTGTTAGGGTCACCTAAGAATAATTAAACAAACAGTTCACATTACAAAATGAATATTAAAAAAAATTCTGCAAAAATCAACCAAAAAGAAAAGATTACACAGCATTTTAGTTAGGAAGAAAAGTTATTAATAGTTGATTATCTGAAACTCTTAATCAAAAGTTTATAATGTATTTTCTTTCTCCTTTCTCCATGCGTTCATGGTGTAAAGTTAGCACACTCGGCACGTATTCAAAAGGTGGTGTATTGAATTATGGCAAAGCACACGAGGGCTATCTGCCTAAGGGGAGGGATACCTTCGTGGAGGATTTTCTAAGGGAAACTGGCTCGTATACACGTTACACATGGGGAAAACCACGAAAACACCCATGCAGCCAGCCCGTTCGCGGGATTTGAACCTCGGAGCGAACTACCAGTGTTCAGCGACTTTACCGCTCGGCCGCTGGTAAGCTCGTATTCAAAAGGTCCAAGCTCGAGTCCAGGCAAGGACATTGCTCATTTCTTGTGTCTCCTGCTTCAAAATCACCTAATGACACTATAGTGGCACCCGAACTAAAAAGTGGTGGATGATGATTCTTCACCACCAGGATTTGGCAACTAGGTCCCCTACTGCCCAGTCTTCCTTTAAAAGGGAGAGTATATAAGGTATTTTCTCCCTCCTTTCTGCATGCCTTCGTGGCCTAATGGTAGTAAACTCGCCCCATATTCGAGAGGTCCAGGTTCGAGTCCCGGAGAGGGCATTGCTCCTTTCTCACATCTCCAGCATTAAAATAACCTAATGACACTACAAGTTCATTTTTTGAACTGTTCACATTCTTCTGGAGTTACTGGTGAAGTGACACTAATCAAAATACTAACAAGTTGACTGGTGAAGCAACAGTAATCATAATATTAACAAGGCATCTCTTATCTTTTGCAGGAAATTTATCAATTTTGTCATCATCATCTTCAGAAAGTTTATCATGTGATCTGCTTGGATCTCTTCCAGAAAGCAATAGGCAAATATCTTCTCTCAAGAAACAGGTTTAAAAGGTATTATTTCCTTATTACTTTATTACAATATTTGTTAATTACTACAGCTTGAGGTATTTTTTCAATATTCATCCAAGCATTAAATTCCTCACAATTCATGTTAGTTTGCGATACTTTTAATTTTTCTTTTCTTTTATTATTTGTTAAAGTTTGGCATGCTCAAAAGAGTTTTTTATTGCCTGAGATGTGGCATAAAGATTTTAATGTTGCCTTAAATTAAAATCAAGAAGCTTGGAGACTTACCCTATTACTTAGTCATTTGGTAATCGCTCTGTTTTGTTTCAACCTGATCTGCCCATTTTATCTTTTATTTGGTAGCATTATTTCAGTTTAAAAAATTCATTCTACAAAATGTTGATAATATTAACAAACTTGTTGATGTTAAATATGCAACATTTTTTTAAATGTTTTTGTATACGAACAGCGAGATTTTGGTAAATTCGATAAAGATATCCTAATGATAACATTAACCATGATCATATTAAATGGCACTTTCTATTTACATTCTACAAACTTTTCAGAAATTGAAAATATTTAAATTACAATATGTAAGGAAAAAATTTACAAATATTACTTTATAAAAGACTGATTTTTTTTTTTTTTTTTTGCATAACACTAAGACAAACATGATATATAATAATAATTTTAAAGAAAATACATTGAAATATTTTACAATATCAAAACTACAGCCATATTTCATATTTATTAAGACTGTTCTCATAATTTCTACTGAAAAATTAACTATTATAAACAGTGCAAATGCACTGTCAGAAAAAGTCACACAAATAGTAATAATTACAAACAAAATATTTTTAAATCTTTAAATATTAGGCTAAAGTAATAGGTAAATAAAGAACTTCTGTAAGTAGAATGCAGCCTCCAACATGCATTGTTGAGCAGCCAGCACTGTTGATACATATATTGTAATATCATAAGGATTATAGTGGTAAGTAAATAAATTCCTAATTTTAGTTTTGGGCCCCCCATTACACATTTCCATGCAAGACTTTTAAATTACAAATATTATATTGGTCTCTAAGTTTTTAGTTTGAAGAAGGCAGGGATGTTTCTAAGTGCATGTCTGTATGTGAAAAGAAGCACGCAAAATACGAGTATATAGTGAACTGAAAGTCCTCTAACAGGTTGATGGTAAGGATGGAAGACTCTAAAACTTCTCTCCAGGATGTTTTTTCTCACCCTGGAACAGAACTACACAGTTACTGCAATGGGATTGTACTTGTGCAATCAATGGTGAAATTTTATCCCATCTACTTGCACCCACACCTTTAATTTTCTTCTGACCCCCCCCATGGGTATAGTGGTTAAAGTTGTTGAGCTGCTGACTGCCATATCGCCCCTCTCTTCAGTTTTCTTCATCATAATTGGAATGGAACTGCATAATTAGACAGGTGAGACTTCATCTGTACCACCAGCACCAGTGTCCTGCCCACTTCTACTTGTATCTGTAATTTTCTGCTTTAGATAGTCCTTATTAAAAAAATTAAGAGAGAAAAGAGGGAAATATGTGTACATATGCATGCCATAAAAAGTGCAAGGACTTAGACAAAGCTATTTCTATGCAGGGCAGTTTCTGTGTCTGCCTCGGTTCTCACCAATGATGCAGTAAAATGTCAAAATGATGAACAGGTAAATAAATTAAAAGTGCTGTCCATATTTGAAATAAAACAAACTAGACATTCCCAACCCTTTTTCTTGCATAAGCCCTTTTTGAAAAAATTATTTTCTTAATCAACTCTAACATTTTTCTCTTAATATACAATATAATCATCATGCATATAAATAACTTTAAACAAACAATTGGATTAAGAATATGAATAAAAGTTTTGAAAATTATTTTATTATATTTATGTTTCATTATTTCTTGTATTACCATTTTTAAAATTTTTATGAACAATTTTCATAAACAAAATCACTGTAAATTTATTATTAATATAATCACAGTAAAACTTTAATTTAATTTATATATTTTAAACAATATTACTAATTTTTATAATATATTAAAAACATTTTTGTGTACTATTTCCATTATGTTTATTTTACATCATTTCTTCTTTATTACATGATATAGCTTTATATCAACAAACAATTAGCAATTTTATTAATATTTTTGGCAATCAATAGGATCTTGATTATAATGATAATTTGCTAGTGCACAACTGGTTATTGACCTCCTAATATCCCTAATACTCTTTAAAATTTCATTGACCCCCAGTTTAACATTTCACTGACCCTAATATCACCAGTGCTCTTTAAAATTTCATTGAGCACTGACTCTGTTGGAAAGTCTTGTTAACATTCAAAAGTGTTATTTTTTTCACTGACTAGTAGTAAAATCATTGATAATATACTTAAAGCCTATCATAAAAATTATTTGTATTTTATTCCTGGTAAAAAGTGTGCCACCCAATACAAACTGCCTCCACATAGCTATGCTACTTACTAAAGACACAGATGGCCACAGTTAGCTTGAAATGAAAAGTTTATCACTTTTATTATTAACTTTTCCACCTATTTGTCAAGACATAAAAATCAATCAATTCCTACATACAATGTAAATAAACTGATTTTTGGAATTATATTTTCCTAGAATTATTTATGAATACTGTTTGGAAATGGAATATTTACAGTGATGTGCAATTTGAAATTTGAATACATTAATTAGTCTACTTCGATTTAAACTCCCATACAAAAGCAACCATTTGTTTTGAAAATGAGAGCAGAGAGAAAGAAAAAATCTTTACACCAATAAGTACCACATGGCACCAGAAAATTTTGTCGAGATGAACAAAGCCCTGCCATATGCATCATGTGACATGCACGTGATGTGTCGAACTTTCTGGGAGGGGTATATAATTTGCCGTATCCTGAAGGTTACAGAAAAATATATCCTCCTTCACAGTAAACATTAAACTGACTTTTAGAGAATTAGTTCATTTAATCCAGCATTTCTCAAACTGAAGTCCTCAAAGCCCACCCTTGTGATAATTCTAGATTTTGTCTGTTAAAAAAAACACAAGATTTTGCATCATTTATTGCTGATGACATGTGGCTAAGTACACCAGCATATCTTTCAGACTTCCTATTCTTTTATCTATTCACAAAACTGAATAAATTAAATCTTGGTATACGTTCTAATATTTTGACTGTCCTCAGTGTTCATGAGAAATTAAAGGGGTTTGAGAGGAAACTTGGTTTATGGATTAGAAGAACTTTCCAGCCTTAGAATCTTTTTTAGTAGAAAATGATACTGTTATTGGAAAATAGTTATGCAATGACATAGGTTCACATCTTGAAACTCTGATATCACAATTTGAAATTTATTTTCCAAATGATAAATGAAACAAATTTTCATGAGTTTTTGATCCTTTACATTGTCATTTTGAAACTAATGGACTGTCACTGAGTAAAACAGAACACTTAAATGAACTCTGAAATGACACTTAATTTAAAGTGAAATTCAGGACAGAAGATATGGTTCATTTCGGGACCTCATAAACAGTACAAATGGAATACAGTAAACTGTACACTCGTGCTTTGCAAAATTACAATTCAGTTTGCTTCTACAGCTTTTACATAGCTATGTGAGAAAGGGTTTTCGACAAAGACAGTAACAGATTTTTAATAAATGATAAAATGCTTTTCTTTTTGGGCAATTTCAATAAAAATGACAGTTACACTTGTTAGGAATAACTTCTTGAGTTAAATACCCTCACATAGGTTCAAGGATCTAGCTTCAAACCTGAAAATAAACCAGGGAAGCTGAAAAGCTAATTATGAAAGAACTCATTCTCAATCACACCGAGCATACTATAAAAATTTTATTTGATGCTGTTCCAAATAGTGTTAGGAAAACTAAACTCTGAAGGTCCTACAAAAAAAAAAAAAAAAAAAAAAAAAAAAAAAAAAAATCTCAATAAATTCAATGCCAGTTACTGCAAAGAGCACAACAAGCTAAAGAAGTCTAATATTATTTAAACACTATTATGTTTTTTTGGTGAAACCATGTTGAAAGCAATTGTACCATTGTAAATGTACGTAGACGATTTTTATTCCCTACTAATGGTAGTTAACTGATGAAAACAAAATTAAAAAATATATCCAAGATATAATACAACAGAAAAAGTAAAATAAAAATATTCAAAAATGCACTTACACAGAAAACGGCTTTTTCGATAATTCTTCTGCTGTCTCGGTTAACTCCAGAACTTAGATATTTTTTGCGAATATTTGCCCACTGAGAACGTTTCAAGGCAGTCAGCGCAGCAATAGACTTTTCAAAGTCAGAATAACAATCTGAAAGAAAATAACATGCAAAGTTATTAACATAAAAAAAAGGAATATAAACAATCAAATAAAAGAAGCGGCTTTACATATTACGTCACAACATGAAACTGTCACCATGTAGCATGATTTAGAAAGTATTATGGATGAGTGTGATGTCACAACATACTCATGGCATGTGCACTTTCTTCTGATGTAAACCCACTTTATTCTTGATACACCACCTTTGTTTGGGTGTATTTTAGAAGATAAATTAATTGCTATTGCTGCATTAATTTTTGCATGTTGAAAAATATGTATCCGAAGGCACTCTGATTCATTTACAGCTGTTAGAAAGAATTAAGATCTATTGAATGGAGGCTTAATACAGCCAACAAAACAGTAACTTGTTGGAACTGCAGGAAATTTGCACTCATAGCATTCTAAATAGAGATTACAGCAAAATTGGAAGGCCTAACAATATAGCTCCACCCGTGTGGTGACCGCGTGTGAAAGAATAGTCCCAATGTAGCTCATGCGTGTTGTAAAAAGCACCCTGCCCCTGGGGATTATATCAGGGGACTGGTCCTCCAAGTTGGGGGTTGGGCTAACTACCCCATCCCGTAAAAAATCTCACTGTTAAGAAATCCAAAGATAGAATTAGCCGGACTGCTTCTACTGGAAAATGACTTGGATATGGCCTAGGGACTCTCCGTTTTAGAACTCTGAATGTCCGAACACTGTACTACAGTAGGAGAACTGCAATTTCTTATAGAAGAATTTGACAAATATAATATGGATCTACTTGCCATTCAGGAAATGTGATGGCTTGGGGAAGGTACCATTGAGAAAAGAAACCACACGGTTTACTATAGCTGTGATGCGAAAAAACATGTTTTTGGTACTGGTCTCTTATTGAACAAAAGTTTAAAACACTTAGTGATTGATGATTTTGTTCCTAAATCACCCCGACTTTGCAAAATTCGGCTAAGAGGAAAGTTTTTTAATTATAGTATTATCAATGGATATGCACCTATAGAGGACAAGGAAGAGGAGGAGCAGGAAATTTTTTATGAGGAACTTTCTATGTTATACAGACCTTGTCCCAAGCATGACATTAAAACTGTCATGGGAGATATGAATGCTAAATTGGGTAAAGAGGATTAATTTAGACCAACAATTGGAAAGCATGGCTTACATGATAGTACTAATCACAATGGACAACAATTAGTACTTTTTGCTGCTGAACACAACATGATAATTTCACACACTATGTTCAGCCACAATAGAATACACAAGATGACTTGGTGTTCACCTGATGGAGAAACCTGGAATCAAATTGATCACGTACTCATCGGATTCTAGGCATTCTTCCGATATCCAGGATGTTAGAACTTACCAAGGCGTCACCTGCGATTCCGACCACTTGTTGGTTATTGCTAAACTAATTGCTAAAATTTGAAACGCTCAAAAGATACAGGGGAAAGACAGAAAAGGTTTGATTGTGAAAAGCTGAAAATTGAGGCAATTGAACAAAATTTCCAGTCTTCACTCAGGGAAGAACTAAGATCTAAAAACATGACTGAACTGGAAACCGTGGAAAATAAGTGGAGCTTGCTCAAAGTCTCGATCATATGTTCAGCTGACAACACACTGGGATATATGGAAAAACCCAAACCAAGGGATTAGTTTGATAATGAATGCTTCCTTGTAACACAGGCAAAAAGAGCTGCTTATAAAAATATGGTCCAAAAGCAACATTCAAGACTCTCTGTTGAGGAATATAAGAGATCTAGAAAACAGGAGAAGATCCACCGTCTTAAGAAAAGACATTTTCACGACGACCTATTTAAGGAAGTTGAACATCTGAGGGGGTCCAATGAAAACCATGCTTTCTATCATGAAATTAATTTTGGCCACAAAGATTTTAATCCTAGAACTACTGCCTGTAGAGATAAAAACAACATCATCCTAAATGACAGAAAAGAGGTACTCCACAGGTGGAATGAGCACTTTCGTAATTTGTTGAATGAATGACCATACGCGGGATGGGTCTTCAACCTACCCAAATACCTCTGTAAACACCAATAGTATCCCGCCACCATCTTTGGCAGAAGTTTTAGAGAAGGAACTAAAAAGCTAAAAAATAACAAGGCCCCAGACCCTGACTTAATTACTTCAGAACTCATTAAAAGTGCTGCAGGTCAGAACATTGAGGAAATACACCACCTCATCGAATCAGTTTGGAACCAAGAAGTTTTACCCGAAGATTGGAAACTGAGCCTGTAAATAACTTTTTCCTATAAATAAAAAGGAGGCATTTTGGAATGTACCAACTACAGGGGAATCAGTCTCTTTTGTGTTTTCTACAAACTATTTTCCAATATACTTTTTAGTAGACTTGTAACTTATACAGAAAATACTGTGGGTGATTTACCAATGTGGTTTCCGCAAAGGAAGATCTACAGCAGAACAAATCTTTAACATTAGGCAAATTTTGGAAAAAACTAATGAATATGGCATTGCAATGCATCACCTTTTTGTTGATTTTAAGACTGCCTAAGATTCAATAAAAAGAAAATATTTAATTGAAGCTATGAGAGAATTCGCAATACCTGAAAAACTTATAAATTTGGTCACCATTACTCTTATTAAGACAAAACTTAGGGTTAAAATCCAGAATAATCTTTCTGAGCCTATTGTTGTTTCAAATGGGCTCAGACAGGGTGATGCACTCGTCTGCTTGCTTTTTAACCTTGCCCTCCAAAAAATCATAAAAGACTCCAACATTAATACTCGTGGAACTATCTTTAACAAATCTGTTCGGATTTTTGCGTTTGCTGACGATACTGACATAGACGCACGCAGTCCCGAGTCTCTTAGAGAGGTTTTTACATCTCTAGAGGCTGCAGCAGCCAGCAAAATAAATACAATGCCATGTGGAATAACAGCAATCCCTATTTTGAAATTGAGAATTACAAATTCGAAACTGTTAGCAAATTTAAATATTTAGAATCAGCGGTTAATACTCTCAATGATTTAATGCCCAAGATCCGTAGTAGAGTCACAGATACTAATCGATGTTTTTTCGGCCTAAAAAAATACTTGAAGTCTAACTTCATTGGCAGAAAAACGAAGATTTTAATTTACAAAAGCTTAATCAGACCCATTCTTACATACTCTGCTGAGACCTGGGTGATGACAGAAAAAGCTAAAAGTATTATTTGTGTCTTTGAAAGAAAAATTTTGAGAAGTATTTTTGGTGGCATAAAATGCAACAATATCTGGAGAGGAAGAACTAACTCTGAACTCCATAAATGCTTTAAAGAAATAGATATAGTAAAATACAAAGGATTCAGAGAATTAAATGGGCAGGACACCTATGCAGAATGGATGAAAATCGAGCAACTAAAAAGATCTTCTCAACCAGACCATTTGGCACCAGAAAAAGAGTGAGACCTAAACTTAGATGGCTCGACTGTTTGGAAACAGACTTAAGAATTTTAAAGTGGTCCATGGCCAAGAGCTTGGAATTTGATTCTGAGGAAGGCAAGGGCCCATCCTGGATTGTCTGGCCATTGAAGAAGAAAAACAATATAGCTGAAATCGAAGAAAGCCTTTTCATAAAGTGGGTCAAATACTTCCACAACAGTGGCCTTTTGGTGGATGGCACAGAGAGATTTGTAAATTTTTTACTGTAAAAAGTGTAGCTGAGAATTTCATAGGAATGAATACCATAACTTTAGAGCAGGATCTCCGTTAACTTTCATGATCCACATGATAAAATGTAAATACCAAAGCAGAAAAGCATCCTCATAACAATTTACAAGTGAAGAAAAGTTTCATATTTAATTTCACTAAATTTTTACAAACATTGTTAGCATAAATTGTATTTCTAAATTAGCAGTTCTCAAAATATGATAATCAAGAAGATATACAAGCAATTCTCAAGGGAAAGCTCACAATACAATTAGAGAACAAAATGCAGTAAAAAATGTTTTTAAATAAATTCTCTTCTGTTTAATGGATACACTTATTAATGTGATAATTATGTTGTTAATCAAACTGCAATCTCCTCTTTAAAGCATACTTATATAACAATACAGATTTCAACATTTTACGTTTCTGTTATCATTCAAAGCATTGGAATCTGAGCTAAATTCTAATGTGTAACTTCAACTCAATTTTCAATTTAATTTCAGTTTTCCTTTGTTCTTTGCTCCTTCTTTTTCCATAAACTAATGGATTAATCAAAAACACTCAGCTTTTTAAATGCCAAAAACCTGAACTGGAAAATATAACTAAATCCAGTAAACATAATAGAAGGAAGAAATATTCCTTAACCTATGGATGGTAGATCTTTTTACACATAAGTTTCATAAACCAGCAGAAATCTCAGTGCAATGGTACAGAAGTACATGCAATCCTGAATGCTTAAAATCTTTTCAACCAGAAAATAAGTTATAAACAATATTTTTAAGCGTTACTTGACATGAGATTTTATCAACAATTTACTGAAATAAATTTTAATACAAAACATGAAATCAAGTAAATTAATAACTGCACAAAAGTTCTTTTTAGAAAGTTAAGACAAAATATAAAATAGAAAAAAGATGAAAAATTAGGATCACCTAAAAGAGCATTTTTACAGTTTAAAATGTTTTATACATAAAGATCATCAATAGAGATGGCTCAGGTGGACTAGATGAATCCCACATGACTAAATCTGACTAGATGAATGAACATTTAGAATAACATGGGAACATTCTATATGATATATCTATTCGGAAAGTGTATAAATATAGAAAAAAAAATTATGAATAAAAAAGCACTTTTTAGATAATGGAATTTAAGTGGAAATTAAAAACAAAATATCTATTACCAAAAATAAAAATTTCTACTTAAAAGAAGCTGTAATTTATTTTTTAGGCGGCCATAAATTGGCAAAAGTCACTAATATGGCATTAAATAAATTTTTTATCAGAGAATACTGATACCATCTGATGAGAAACTCAGTAAATATTACAGAGCATTATTTAGTAGACCACTTTCTTATATTACAATATATTTATTTAATATAATTTTATGGATAGTTTTTTATTATCTGCATTCCTACCGAAAAGTTGCAGAAAAGTATCAAGGAGACAAAGCTGTATGCCATCAAAATCATTATAAGGCAACCCACAATATCACCAAAAAATGTTTATGTGGGAACCCATGTATAATAGCACATCTGTTTTGGCCAGTGCACAATGCTCAAGTTGTACAGATGACCATTCATTTTAATTTTTTTTTTTTTTATGTTTTTGAAATAAAAACAGATCACTGTGTACAAGGGAAGAACAACAGTACAAAAAATTACAGAAGAATTTCTCGAAAAATGCAAGTGCTTCATTACCGATGTTTCTTGCTTTTTAAATTGTATTGATTGATTACTGTTGTGTGGAATTAATGTATTGCCATTCTGAAAACAGTAGTGGCTTTTCCCACATTAGCCTGAGGAAAATCAATCACCAATCAGTTAAGGCATTTTCGGTTGGGTGCAGATAATCAGAAAATACCTTTTATGCAATTGTAATATTGTAATGTTTATGTTAATCTGAATCTTAACTGCATATAACATTTTTTTCATGTAAAAAGGACAAAACCATAATAATACATATTAGATCATGGCCGTAACTACCACAAAGGTGACCTAGGTTGTACCCCTGGGCCTCCAAATGAGGGAAACTCCAGATCTATTATCAGCATATGGATTACTATAGAATACCTTGTGTCAAATTACTGAAACATGAAGAAAATCTAGAGATTTGGTGCCTATTGCTTCAGTGATCTTTGAGCCTTGGGAAGTAGTTACACAGTTTTGCTACAGTTAAATTAAGAAAGTGAAAAAAACATTACAATAAATTATGCGAACATGAGCCATTAAAAGATTCAGAATATTACAGTAACTGTGTTTTACCCAACAACACATATTTTATGCAGCACGTTTTGCCATCTTTTCCAAGGCATTTCCCTTTTAGTTATCTTTAACTAAATCATCGTTTAAAGAAGAGCTTGAAAAAATTATTATCTTCAAAGGAATAACAGAACTGCTAACAATAAATCGCAGTTCACTTAACACAACAGTTCCTGTAACTATCGCTAAGGCTGAATTGACCATTCTCAGAACTAATATTAATATAAAATTATTGACAAAGTAATATGGGGCAGAGAAGGTTCAGTTTAACTTCAACTGAGAATAGTCAAACCCAAAAAATTAACCTTGATAAAATATTTAATGACTTTGTTTTCTTAACAGTTAGAAAATGAATTTTTGTAATCCAAGTGTGAAAATAAAGTATATTAATGAAAGTGCTTGCTAGCAAACATTGTATCTTGATTATAATCCATATTTTTCACGATCTGTGTGATGGGAAATAACTTTGGATATTATAATATGTTTGACTTAACAGGATTAAACAGGAATAAAAAATAACATAAATGCACAATAAAGAGGCGATTATTGAAATTTTTTCATTTGATTAAAATATATAAAGTCATTTTAATTATTAAGAAATGATTATTCATAATTAGGGAAAAAGTGGTTAAAATTAGAAGATACAAAGATGAGGCCATGTTATCCTTTGTTGCCCCAAGGCCCCCAGTATTTAGTTACAATTCGGTATTAAATATAGAAAAGATTAGCTAAGAAGTCCTTTAGCATATTAGATTATAACTATTTCTCGGTATAAAAAATCAGCTAAAATTACATATATAATCTAAAAATGCAAGTATGGTTAAGTCACATTTGCATTTTAAAAGACTTTATTTTTTTATATTTAAAACAACACAATATTATTTATGTCTCCAAAAGAAAAAGGTGTTTACATAAGATCCAACTTATCAAAATAAAAAGATGTGATTAAACAAAACTAAAGGTTTCCATTAATTTTCAACAGATGAAAAAATATAATATTTTTTTATCTACACTTATGATATGAGTAAATTATAAATTCCAATTGTACTTTTAGAATTTATTTTTTTCATATATATTTTTTTGTAAAATACTATGGCTTTTTAATTTACTACTAAAAAGCTTATATATATTTTTTAAAAGGAACATGATTTAACATAAAATTTCTACCAGAATGCAAGAATATATTCACTGGAAAATAAAACAGAAAAAAGTAGTACCTTTAAAAGTAGTTCTTTAAGAATCTTACTTTTTCATATTATTTTTAAATACTATGGATTTTTAATTTTCTAAATAAAAAGTTATGTATAGAATTTTAAAAAAGAAAACAGGCCTTAACACAAAACTGTTACTAGAAAGTAACAATATATTCACTAGAAAATGAAACAGAAAAGATATTAGTACTTTAAGAATCCTACTTTTTCACATCTAATTTATTTTAAAATGCTATGGATTTTTAATTTTCTAAATAAAAAGGTGTGTATATGTTTTTAAAAAAGAACATAAGTTTAACTCAAAATTACTACTAGAATTTAAGAGAATGTATTCATTGGGAAATAAACAGAAAAGAAATCAAAAGGCAAAATCATATCTTACCCAACTGATTTTCTGCATCTTTGACAATCCAATTTAGTTGCTCTTCTAACGTAGTTGGTGAAAGAAACTTATTTTTTGAATCACAGATATCCAACTTGTAATAAATTCCTTTCACACACACAACAATGTGCTGAAAATTTAAATTGACTATCAAAATAAATATATTTACATGACCTGGAATATTAATATACTTATATAATCAGAATATCATTTAAATAAATTTTTAGAACAGACATAAATTATTTCTAACCTTTGAATCTTCACAATGTAGAATTTTATCAGCATCCTCACCAGGAATTCTAAATGAAAAAGAAAGAAGGAAAATATTTTATAAACTGCATAACTCAGCTACATTCAATATTTGTACCAATAAAGTTAAAATCTAAATTTTATTACTATTTTAACTTCGTTGTTAGTTTTATTTCATCTTGTGCTTTTAATTTTTAGGTGTCACTTTTGAGAAGATCTTAAATATTAATTTGTTTATTAATAGCATTTTAAAGGAAAAGTGAGATAATTTAATGTTAAATTTCTGCATAAATTTTACAAACAATAATTCTCAAAATGCATTTGTGAATTTAAGTACCTTACATCAATATTAGCTGCCCGAATGGGGTAGAAGTTAATGACTGCAACTACTGCACCAAAGGACTCGGATTTAAATTTTGGGGAGAAGGTTTGGATGTTTGTAAATGTATAGTGTCTTTGCAGTAAAGGGGCACTCTAAATATACATGGCAAGCTGAAAGTACTTTCATGCGGTTTGGTGGATGGGAAAAAAAGGTGGGAGACCCTTGGACACACTCCCCTGCAGTGCTCACTCTCAAAATAAGGAAAGAATTGGACAAAATCATGCTGTCACTTATATAGTACCCAAGGCTATTGCCAACAACAGACAATCTTTTTTCTCCTTCCACAATAAATTTTGTAGGATTGTTCTGATGAAGTCAGACAAGTGAGTTTAGTCACACACATCAACATAAAATAAAAAATTTAGCAGGTAACGAGATTCAAATATCTCGATATTATCATATGATGCTCATTTATTAAGCCATGCACTGGAAATACTATGCACTGGTTAAACAAACAGGGGATTCAATAATTCAACTTTAAAAGTAAATACATTAGCAACATATAGGGTCCTAATCGTGAAATTAAAGTCCTGATTCTATGAGACTGACCTGTCTAAAACATTATGACAAGGTTTTAAACATTTTTTTTTATTTAATCCTTAAACGAAGAGAAAGCGCAACTTCTGTATACAAGCAAATACTGCCACATGCTGGTATTTAAAATAACATAAGTTAAAATTTCAAATTAAAAGTAATATAGTCTCTGACTAAATTACCTTTAATTTGAAATGCAGACTATATTATCTTAATAAGAAGTCGGTATACGTAAGCTAGTTCATAAACTGCGGGTGAGGCTGCCATAAGCCCTAACACTAAAAGGTTTTAAAATCTGTGCTTAAAAACTCAACAAAATTTGCATTCTGCTGAGGACTATGAGAAAGGAATAGTAACAGAGATTTAAATCACAACAATTAGTTAACTGACATAAAATACTCTACAAATGTTAACATAATTCTACATTGATATATTATTTTTCAAATTCTTCTTTAAATCTATAATAAGGAACAAATTTGTTATCCGCATATTATTTTAAATTAGAGTTTTTATTTTCAACAAAAGAAATAGATTTAATTTTTTAAAAAAATGTCATTACAATATGTAACTGTTGGAAATAGAATTTGCATTTCTCCCGTTCGCGATTGCGCTGAGCAGAAAAGGTGACCTCTATAGATGCATGGAAGGTTCCTCCTGATGAAGAGAGACGAAGAGAGAATGGGTAGTGCGTCTTTCCGATTCTGATGGTGCCGAAGTGCGACCTTCGTGCTATGCCTATCTGATTGTGTTTTCTGATGTGGCCAGCAGCTGTGATTCTCTCAAGCGTTGTGCAGAAACGTGATATATGGAGTCCTAACAAGGAACAGCATAGTGGAGATAATCTACTCAAGATTCTGGATTATCTTTCTATATCGCTAAATAACTGCCTATATGAAAAGGACTGTTAAGCAGGATCAAAACACGTTGTACCAATCTAGTACATTATCCATTGCATAATTTCATTAATCTGTCATAGTCTAACATGATACGTTTCTCTATGTTATTAAATATTAAGGACAGAAAGTCACTGATTAAATCTTATGTTGATTTTCAACTTATTGCAATTTATATTTCTGTAGCAAAGAACCTCGGTTCTACACCCAACATTACACATAACTCTCAAGGTTCTTCAAAGAACACAAATCTTCAAAAACAACAGCAACAAAAAGAAAGAGATTTAGATGGATACAAAATATATCATTTGAAATATTAGTTTCAATAAACACTGAAATTATGTATTCTTATAATTTTTAATAAAATGAACAGAAACAAGAATTATTGGTAAAACATATTTGAACAGCTATGTAAATTTTCTTTAATCCTTATTATCGTTTACACTCAATTTGCCATAAAAATACAACCATAGAGAAAAATAATTTGAAGAACAACTACCGCTGAGCCATTAGGTATTCTGATTAGTGAAACCAAAAAACAAAATACTTTAGAATTTTAAATATGAGAAAATAAAAATTATCATTACCTCACAGTACTGAATAGCCTTTCATACTGTGCCATGCAAATAGGTATAGTGTTCCTAATAACTAAAGGTTCTAATTCTTCACGGTCAATTAACCGCTTAAACACCAGGATGTTATATATCAAAGAAGCTGCACTGAAATAAAAATAAATTTATCACATTATATATATACATATATATTGGATCAGTCCATAAATTTGTGCACGTTTTTTTTTTGGTAAATTTTTAAAATATAAAAAACCACAATTAACATTTAAATCAATTATATATTTCCTCCATTATCTACAATGTCTCGTCATTAAGCAGCTTTTTCTGCCATTGCTGTAGAAAGACTCTGGTTTTGATGGGGAAAAAAAAAAAAAAAATTGAAAGTTCATTTTGTACATCCTGTTTAGGATTTAATTTTTTCCACAATAAAAAATTTCGTAAGGCATGAAATAAGTGAAAATCACTTGAGACAATATCTGGGGAGTAAGCAGAATGTGGCAAAAACTCCCAATTAAATTCACTAATTTTTTGCAACGTTGTTCGAGTCATATGCGGTCTAGCGTTATCATGCTGAAATAACATTTTCTTCATATTCACCCATCGAGTGCATTTTTTGATCAATTCTGAGTTTAGGCAGCAAAATTGTTCGCTATAAACTTCTGAATTAATCGTTTGATTTGGTTCTAATGGTTCAAAATGTCCTGAACGGGGTTCATCGTCAATGCTGCTTTTTCAGACTTAAAATTTTTTAAACCATTTCTGGCCAGTCCTTACACTAACAGTGTGTTTACCATGTACACTATTAATTTTTATCGCTGCAAACCTGGCAGATTCACCACACAAAAATAAAAAATGTAGTACAGGACGTTCGTACTGATTATCTATATCCATTTTCTATGGGTACTAAAATGCGTTCGATATTTACGAAAGTTAGTGATAAACTGATTGCAAAAAATTATTTCCTATGCAATTATTTATCATTTTAATTATGTAATTAAAATGAAAAATCACTCAATCAAGCATACCTACAAGCAGATTTTTATTTCTTTTGTTTAGGTGACAAATTCATGTTGATCACTTTAACAACAGATTCGAAGCAAAACATTATGTTACTGCAGAAATTTTTCCACAGTTTTTTCCATTGCAGGCAAATCCTATAAGAATATATTTGAAGAACTGAGTTTAACTCAGAAGGATGAGCATTTCATACTCATACACATAAGGAGGTATCAATATACCCTTTTCTCAAATTATCACCACCAAAATATGTTTTGTAGAGTATATCTGTTACCAAGAAATTATGAAACGCTGGCATTCTATAGAATGCTTAGGCACTGTATATAATGCCAAACATTTTTATGCAAAGTATGAAATATGAGACATACTACATACTTTCCCTAGGCACTGTATATAAAACCTAGGTATTCTATAGAATGACAAATGCTAGTTAGGCAAAGCATGAAAAACGGTCCTGATAAGGCTATTATATAAATTATGTGCATTCCTCAAAAATAAAAATGTTATTTTGAGAAAATAATGAGAGAGCCATTAAAAAATTTATTCAAAATACGTAAAGAGAAATGAAAGTTATACAAAACAAAATTTATGCTTTTCTTATTAAATGAAACAAAATTTTCATATAAAAAATAATATAACCTACTTGTTGCAATACGGTAGGCTTGAATGACATTTTGAATTACATTTTTCATGCAAAAACACTTCATATTTTGGCACTTTGTTTAGCACATACATTTGACTTCCACTGGACTGAGCAATTGCAACTGACTGGAAAGGAATTTCGCGTTCAGCAATATCTTCAGTTCTAAGCAATTTCTTATGGCATAAAGTGAATTGCGATCTCACATGTACTTGTTTTAAAATTACTACACATGTTCCAAGTTGGTAGAAACCATCCTCCGCCACACTCATTTACAACTGCAAATATATTGCACACATCACCTCACCCCGTGTTGATGTCAGGAACAGGAACTCGCCCAGTAGTTCCCAAACAAGCAGTGGGATATTTTTTCCGAATTCATTTT